AAAGTTCTACATTAAAAAAAAGAAAAAAAAGAATTAGATCCAGTCAATTTTAAGATATGACTTTCCTCTAGTTACAACTCTTCACGATCAAACAAATTTATTCTTATAGTAACACTTTCATAGTTTTCTATTTACTTAATAAAATACACAACTACTACAGTTGTTTCATTCACAGCCCCCCACCAACCTCTTACCCTACAAGTGGACACTGAGTGCTTCTGGAGTGACTGGAAAACTGGACGAGTCTCTCATGATAAAGCACGTCATGGTGCTTGAGAAGTAATTTCAAAGCTCTTCGCTTATCTTCATAACTGGTGTCACACACTCTGTGCCCTTATTATGGACCATCTTAACTACCCATAACCAATTTGAGTGATCAAACTTTCAAGTTTCAAATCAGCAAGATGATTTCTTCTTGAGTAACGTGTAAGTCCTAACACATCATGATGAAGTTTCCTATGTGCAGATTTGGATCCATTAGACCAGCACAGCCGGAGTGTCCACATCTCCAACAAGCTTCTAGGAGATGTGATGCTGCTGGTCCATAGACCACAACCGGAGCAGCAGGGGTTTGGAATTGGAGTGTCAGGCTTTTTAAACTCCTGACACAGCTTAAAAGATTTAAGGGCAAATAACATCCAAACATAACTAAATTGTTTCTGAAATGTTAAAGTATAGGAAACACAAGCAAAAACTCTGCCCCCACCCAGTTTCTAAACTATTTTCTATCAGTTTTCTTAGGATTTTACAAAAAAAAGAAAAACTATCTGCCGATACTCTAAAGCTTATACAACTTAAACCATAAAGTACATTTGACAACAGGAAGCAAGGGAAAACAAACATTGTTCTGTAGGCGTAAGAGAATTGATCCTCAGTCACTCTGATAAGCTTTTCTTACACTAGCTGTTATTTTTGTCAGAGAACTCCATTATGTTGTTAACTGTAATCTCAATTATCCAGGACTTGTGAGACATAATGTTAAGTTACAGAAAATTTTTTTGTCTTAACAATTATTATTTTGATTTAAAAAAAATTACCATTTGCTTTATTCAGCTCCACAAGTGTCCCTATATGTACAGGTAAACAGTTTGCATGGAAAGGATCTTTCTCCATTACTCTGAAAGTCAAAGCAACATTTACCATGTCAGAAGCAATACATAACAGAACATACCTCATTAAAATAGCTATGTCTAAACAGTCATTACATCTTTATGTAAAATACTTTTTTTACTTTTTTAACTCCATTACCTTCAGGTTGGCTCAATTAAGGTAATGATTATCTTATAAATGAAAGGGAAAATTCTGGTTTATTTAGAAGGAATAAAAATAAACATTATCACATACATTTATCTTAAATCAACAGAATTACAAAATAAGCAGTCTAATTACTAAGAAGGATTAAAAACAATATGAAATATTAAACAGATCGTATTTGTCAATTAATATTTTTGTGAATTCAAGGATGTTAAGTAATCCCAAAGATCTGTTAAAAATAGCATATGTAATTTAGCTACAAGACAAGTTTGAATCATGAAAACTGGTATGGTGGGGGTGGCAGGGAGATGGCTTAGCTACTTAGTAAGCCTGACTGAGCACCCAGCATCTACAGGATTTGACTAGTTCCTACTTTAAAAGAAGGGATTTTATGAGACTATGTGCCAGAATGGTATTTTCAAATTTGCAAATTATAAAACACTGAGACGAGGGAATTGTCTATTCCCAAGGCAATGGACTAAACCGATAAGTGCCCATAAACCTGTGTCTGTAAATTGCTCTTTTAAGATAACAATAACCCTTCTAGTAAACTCTGCAAATTGTAAAGGCAACTTCAATTATCACCAATTAGTTCAAGCTTATTCACAAAGCAGCCCTACATACTTCTTAGGTAAAATGAGAATGGACTCTATGCTCCTACACAGAAATAAGTGGATATACTTACACAGAAGTAAGCTTGTAGCACATTTTAAAATCACAGTTATAATAATGTCTTTCAGCCAAAGACACTACCACATCCAGATTCTCCTGCAAACCATCTACAGACTCGGGGAGGACAGTTTCACTGGGTTTATTATACTGCAACAGAGAAAGGGAAACATGAACCCAATGTGCAGTACAAATCAAACGGCAGACTCGATCTGGCCCAATGGCTCAAGGGTTTACACAGGGCAGGTGTGAACCTCTGGGAGCCCTGACTTTATATCTTATCAGCCCTCCTCTCAATCAGCTGGACTCTCTTCTCAATTTTATCACGGAGTTCCAGGGCAGGAAGTATTTTACAAACCAGAAGTTCAGGGGTGCCTGGGTGGTTCAGTCAGTTGAGCATCCAACTTCGGTTCAGGTCATGATCTCACAGTTTCTGAGTTCGAGCCCCACATCAGGCTCTGTGCTGACAGCTCAGAGCCTGGAGCCTGTTTCAGATTCTGTGTCTCCCTCTTTCTTTGCCCCTCCCCCGCTCATGTTCTGTCTCTCTCTCTCTCTCTCAGAAATAAATTAAAAAAAAAAAGTTCACTAAGCATAAGAAAAAAATCCTCATTTTCACACAACGTCCCACTTATGTTACAGTTCAATCTTTTAGCATAAGGAATCCCTAGAAAAAAGACATGTTTTTGGATGCTTTTTAAGGAATCATATCATCTATTCTTGCAAATGTGCTAATAAAAATTAAGTTTTAAAAATTTAACTAGTAAAAGAATAGATGCCAAATTTAGTAAAATAGTTACATAAAGCAAAACTAATTTTGTGTTTTTACTCACCTTTTTTAATTTGTTCTCAAATAGAAAGCGTAGCAATTCCTGTTCTTCAGTACAGAGCTTGCTAAGAGGTAGTGACTCAAGAAGTTCTTTCTCTTAAAAATGTTAAGAAAAAAGAATGTCCTCACAGTATTTATGGGGGTAAAAAGGCATCAATAAAAAATATTCTTCTATAGTTCTTGGTCTAAGTAAATCAAACTCAAAAGAGAGAATAACAAGATCAAAATATACTTGAAAATCTAAGACAGTGGTTCCAGACCCAGGTGATAAGAACCACCTGGAGGGTTGAGCCATGAAGCCTTTTAGGCAATTCTGGTCACCACCAGATGCAAGAACCACCCGGCCAGTTTCCCAGCCTCAGCACTGCTGACACTCTATGTGGATAATTCTGTCGGTTGGTTGTCCCACACCACCACAGGATGGTTAGCAGGATCTCTGACCTCCACCCACTAGATGCCATTAGCAACCTCCCATCCCGTCCCCAATTTATAAAAATCAAAAGTGTCCCTAGGGCACAAAATCAACCTGAGAACTACTACACTAGATAGACTAAAATGTGCTTGAACCCCACTAACACAACATCCCTATTTTCTCTGTGTTTCTTGCACATATCCACCTCACATTACTGCTGACATACTAGGTCTGTGGTTCTCAGCCTAGCTGCACCTTAGGGTCATCTGAGAGCTTTAAAACATCTGACGCCAGGGCCCCACTGCCAGAGATTCCATTCCACTTGTCTGGAGCTGGGACCTGCACCCTGATGTTGTTAAAGGCTTTGAGGTAAAGCCATGTTGGGCATCTCTGAATCAGATACTGAGATCTTGGTTTACACTATCTCAAGTTACTTCCCAAAAAGATGGCCTCACCACATCACAACCCTAAAGATTCTGACAGCAAAGGGCACTGCACAATCCACCACTGTCCTTTGCAATGTGCTTCAGGTCTGTTTAAACATGCATAGTCTGCTGTTGACTGTAAAGGTTTCAGAGAAAAAAAAATCCAAATGATATTAATTGTGCTAAACATGAAAACACCTGAGTTTCCAAACCTTCTTGAGCTGTCAACATGTGGTGTGATGTTAAAAGATCAAATGCTTCAAAACAGTAGGCATCCAGCTTCAAAGCTTCTTTGTAGCTATAGGTAGCTAGGGCTCGGTTATCCAGAGCATCATAGATTTTCCCTCGTAAAAGACAAATAGAACTCTTTATCTGTTGGAAAAATATGATGAGTCATGTACTAAATCAATACGTCGAAATTTAATTTTTGATCAGAATGATCTATTATCTTAAGGCTGAGACTTCTCTTGACCTCTAAAATAATTTATTCAATCCCAACAAATTAACAGAAACAGGAAAGGAAGTAAAACTTCTCTATCTTCCCTAGGCTCTCCTCACTTCAACAATCTTTAGAACTACAGCACGTCACTGCTACTTGGTTCCTTATCTGTTCTGTCTCAAAGAGGGTAATGATTTAGATAGTAAGCAGAATACAAATATTAAATTAAACTCAGACAGTTTGATAGGCGGGTCACAATGAAAGGATCTTAGTAATAAACACTGAAAAACTGGTGGCAATAAGGTACCACGATTAGGGTCATGAACTTGTAGCATTGGACAGACCTGAGTTAAAACCCCAGCTCTGATGCTTCCTAGTGACCCTGGACAAGTTTCCTTCCCTCATCTAACTTACAGGGCCCTGTGAGAAGCAGAGGTGCTAGTCTTCTGCAAAGCGAGTACATGTGAGGTGTTCACAGAGTAGCCACCTCACCACTACCACTAACAAGAGGATGTGGGCAGCAATCCAACCTAGATTCTAGACTCTGAACCTCAAGAAACATGCAACTAAACCTACAGATGATCCAGAGACGGGCAGCTAAAACTGGTAAAAGGACAAAGAAGATTCATCATAAAATCCAAACTTAAAAATAAGAGGATGTAACAAGGTGTAATCTTACACCAATGCAGTATCTTATGACTTGTAAATAATAATAATAATAATAATAATAATAATTTCATAAGATAAATAATGTATTACAAACAAACCATGTATTTCTTAGCAGGTAAATGGTAAGTAGTCCAAAAATAATAATGGTAATACCAGACTCCCTCATAAATACCTTTATTAGCAGAAAAATAAACGTGCTCCTTAGCACATAAATAGTCTCAAGAAGGCTGTTAAAAAAAAAAAAAAACCAGAAAAAAAGAAAAAATAATAACAGTTGAGATTAGTAATCTGTGAATGTCATTTATTATGTTACATTATATAATCTCTGCCAACAAGGAATTTGCAATTTCAGGCAGATATGAAGTATACAAACTGAAGTAAACAAATTACATAAAGAGTAACACCAAACCACTCCCTGGAAAGAAGCAAACTATGGTTTCCTGGGGTAGGTATTGAAACACAGTAAGAAAGGGAAAGGTTATTCCATCTGTGGGAGTAATTTAAGGCATCAAATATGAGAAGAAAGCTCTCAAGTCAGCCTATTTCAGACTCAAGCATATGAGGACATAGCTATAGCTTTCCATCTAATGACTCAGAAATGTCTTGGAGTCTTCTTGTGTTTCAGTGGCAAATTAAGTAAGTTGGCAACTGAACTGTTTTAACATGGTGATACTGAAATAAAAGAAAGTGATTTATGTTTTGCATGTCGTGTGAGTAATTCTTACTGATGTTACTGAAGTATGCTTATTGCAGCATTACTTACGGAGGACTGTGACATTTCCCAGTCATTGGAGGGGTCTTTCAAGCCACTTTCATCCTTCAAGTACTTCTCAAATAACCTTTTGTTGATTGGCTCCTCCATGTCAAGAATATCAAGTGCCTGCTGATGCTCTTTCGCAGCATACTGTGTTGTGCAAAAGCCAGAACTACTGTTTATCACCTATCACTTCGAACACTAGACATACAAGCAAATACTGTCAATTTTAAAAGGGTCATAGAATATACCTACTCATTACTTATATTTAAAATGTAGAGCTTAAAATTTCAAATTCTAAGGCAGAGTTTTCTTCATGCATGTCAGATATTGGTAAATAGAGAATCAATATTTTATAGCACACAATACTAAAGAAAAGAACACTTCCTCATGAATACTTTACTAATCTGCCAGCTCCACCACCAGATTTCTGTATAACAGCAACATAATTAAACTTTTACCAAGAAAATTAAAACAGATGGCATACTTACATGGCATCTAGCTGCGAGGTAGCGGCATGCTTCATACAGCTAGGAGAGAAAACAATCTGTTAAGGAGGTTACGGCAGGAAGACGCAAACACAGTACTCGTGAGACATAAACTATATAAACTCTGGAAGAACGGCATAAAAGTACTAGCAGTTAAGAAAATATGTGCAAGGGACAGAGGTGGAGGGGCTGGCCAGCATTCCAGGCACTGAGCAGGGACACTCCTCTATGGGACTGCAGACAGTCAGTTTGCACATGTTACTTGTACAGGTGGTGGTGGTGGGTTCGACACCGATGGAGAGAAACCACAGGGACTCTGGTGCCTATGTAGGTGGTGGGAAATCACTGATTGATACTGTCAGTGCTATAATCAGGTCTGTGTTTCTGTGTTTTAGGAAGACCACTCTTGTGATAGTTTAAAAGACTGCTAAAAAGAGTCAGGGAAAATGGAAGTGGGAAAGATATTATCAAAGAAAAGAGACAAGAAGCTAAAACAAAACAGACAAATTAAAGGCCTGACATGTATGAGCAGTAATGAAATGGAAAAGAATATCCATAATTTCAGAGTTACTTAGAAAACAGAATTTTCAAAACTGAGTGATTAGATTGGGGGACAAAAGTGACTGAGATTAGGAATAAGAAAATTTTTCTTTACATTCAATAAGAAAAATTGAATCCTTTTAAATAACTTTGACATTTAATCTAATGATATTTTTTTAATTAATACCTTTCATTTTTTTTTAAGTTTATTTATTTTGAGAGAGACAGAGAAAGGGCTCAAGAGGGGTAGAGAGGGAGAGAGAGAGTTCCAAGCAGGCTCCATGTTGTCAGTGCAGAGTCCGATGTAGAGCTCGAACTCACAAACCATGGGATCATGACCTGAGCTGAAACCAAGAGTCGGACACTTAAACAACTGACCACCCAGGTGCCCCTCATCTAACAGCATTTTTGAAAAGTTTGGGAAGCTTTAAAGTTCACACAATCACTTACTTTGTCCAGTTTTCGTGACCGAAGTGCATGAGCTGCTCTGTGATATTGCGCTGTCAGGTAAAGACACTGAGCCAACCAATAAATGTCCTGGGGTTCCTCTGGAAGGAAAAAAATCACATAAATGGTCAGAGGCACAAGGAAAGATAGAAAAGTTTTTAAAATATAGAAATCAGAAAAAAAAATTACAAGTTGTCACTTACCATGAGAGAGTGAAGCTACTTTATCTGCCCAAAATAGAGCACTTTGATACTGTTGCTGTATCAAAACATAAAAAGTAACCACCTTGTTATTTCAATAGTTTTAAACAGATATCTAATATCGTTAGAATGCTATATAATAAATCAACATCGTAATACAATTTTTTACATGTAGCAAAGGTCTACCAATCTTATCTCCATTTTACATCTCAGCTAGGTGAGTTTTGGTTCAAAGGTACATAAACATTATTGTAGGCTCTTTGATACATACAGCTCAAGAAGGTAGGATTTTTTTAAACTTATACATTGTAAAAATGTATAAGCAGGTATCTAAGACAGTAGATAATTTAAACAATTATTTTGCAGTTATCTCCTCATTAGCAACGTTCTGTCTTTGTACAGTTCTTGAACACCAGCTAGGTACTCTGTCACCAGTCAATCTGGGAAAAGGAATGCTTATAGAATGGTTACAAATCTGCTCAAGGTAGGTGCCCCCAGGGTGGAAACCGGACCTGTCTCATCTCTCACTACATCCCCAGAACCAAAAGGAAAGTGCTCAGAAGCACCTGTTCAGTTCAACTGACTCACCAACACAAGACCCTAACATACCGCAGGCATCTGGCAGTGTTATGTCACATCCATTAGAAACATTTCATATCAAATATGCTTTTCCCTCCCCTTCCTGGTTTTCAACTTACTTGGAGAGTATAAATTTTATAAAACTAAATGACCTTGGGGCGCCTAGGTGGCCCATGTCCTGATCTCAGGGTTCTGTTGGTGGTTTCAAGCCCCAGGATGGGCTTTGCACCGACAACGCAGGGCCTGCTTGGGATTCTCTGTCTCCCTCTCTCTCTGCCCCTGCCCTGCTAGCGCTCTCAAAAACTAAACGTTAAAAGCAAACAAACAAACAAACAAACAAACAAACAAACTACCTGACCTTGTGGATAAAAGTAATGCTGCTGATTCTGGAGACACTTCCTAAACAAACTGCTGCTCATTCACGGGCAGTGCAGGGAATACAGACAGAGTTAACATTTATTTTTTATTAAAAAAAAATTTTTTTTAATGTTTATTTCCTCCTGAGAGAGACAGAGTGCGAGCCGAGGAGGGGCAGAGAGCAAGGGAGACACAGAATCCGAAGCAGGCTCCAGGCTCTGAGCTGTCAGCACAGAGCCCTACACGGGACTCGAACTCACAAACCCTGAGATCATGACCTGAGCTGAAGTCCGTGTGGCTCAACCGACTGAGCCATCCAGGCGTCCCAACATGAATTTGTTAAAGTACTGATTTGACACAACAGGCTTGTTTGTATCTTTATTCACTTAAATTCTGCCAAATAAGAATTACAACTAAGCTTCTCGAAACTTTTCCATTAGCTAGCTAAATTCAAAGGCCATCCTGCAACTTTCCTCCTAAAATAACCCTTTAACTTCCACTGAGCAGTAAGTTTGTACTGAGCACCCACTGCGCGCAGCAGTTAGGACGGCTGCAGAGCGGGAGTCAACACGTGTAAAGCTCGCGCTGCGCTTTGGTGGCTTGCGCTCCCAGGGCTTCTGGTCCTCCCAGATGCAGAGAGGGCTGAGGGGCTGCCTCCCTCCCTTCCGGGGCTTCAGCCCAGGCCCCGCCGGACGAAGCGCCTGCAAGACCCTGACGACAGTTACCCTGCGGGCAAGGGCTCGGGCGCGCTGGCCTCAACGAGCCCCGGGGCCTGCGCTCCCCGGGCTGGGCCGCCCACCTGGTCCAGGTACTGCCGGACACGCTTCCGCAGCCGCTCCAGGTTCATGGCCGCGCGGCCGGAGAATCCGGCAGAGCTTGGTCCACCGCCCCCGCGCGCGCCCTCCTTCCCGCTGCCGGCCGGGCCCGCCCCGAGTCCGCACAGCTGTTGCCAGCTCCCTGTCCGGCGCCGCCGGGATCTTCCGCTCCCGCCAGGCCCCGCCCCGGAAGTCCTTCGCAAACGTCTTCCCTCCGGCTCCAGATACTGGGGGCGCGCTGATGGTTCCGGCGCGCTCCCGTGACCCTTGGGTTGCCGGGGTTTGGGGACCACGGACGCCTTTTCTCCCGACTGGAGGGCTCTGGTAGCACGGTCGGTTGTTGTGTCCGGGCGCCGTTCGCTCTTTAGCTCGTTCTGGGGGGCGGGGCGCTCAAGGCCGGCAGCCGGGTGGCAGCGGGGGCGTGAAGGGGGGGGGGTGGCCCGCCTCCCGGATCGCCGCGGGGGTTGCCAAGCTTCCCCGTCATGTTGTCTTGCGGCCCTAGGGCCCGAAGCCCTAGGTAGAGGAAGCCGAGACCAAAAACAAGTAAGCTAAAAGGGCTGGCCAATTAAAACTTTGAATGGAGTGGGATTCGGCAATGAAAGGGAAGTGTTGACACCTGCTTAGTGAAGGACGCCAGCCCCCCAAGGACCACACACCCTGATTCCACTGGCGAGGGTTCGCCCACTGACTGAACTCTACTCAGGTGACCCTCAACCCCGGTGCAACCAGACCTCACTGTTGGACTTCCACGTGCCGTTCTGCATCGACCCATTTTAACAGGAGTTCCCGTGTCAGTTCAGCCGGAATCCCCCACCCTCCATGTGTGCTCTCCCTTGACGTATGACCAAAGTCCTCATCGCCTGCATCCCCCGGTCGGGTCTGATCACCTCGGCTTGCCTTCAGCAAGAGTCCTGTTGGTTCGGTTTATCTTTTTAATTTTTATTTTTGTAAGTTTACTTATTTGAGAGAGGCAGAGAGAGTGAGTGGGGCAGGGGCAGAGAGAGAGTCCCTAGTGGCCTCTGCACTGTCAGCGCAGAGCCGACAGCGGGACTTGATCTCACCACGGTGACCCTAACAGTGAGATCATGACGAGCTGAAACCAAGAGTGGAGGCTTAACCCACCAAGCCACCCAGGCGCCGCCGCATGGGTGGGTTTAGACCGAATCCCCCACCCTTAACTCTGATGTTTCCTCTTAATAATATTCTATTCAGAGACCCCCACCTTGCTCCTTGGCTATAGATTCCCGCTTGGCTTGTGCTGTATTCAAAGTTGAGCCGGATCTCTCTTCCTAACTGCGGATTTCCATCACAGTTGTCCATAACCCTATGGTGATAGTTCCCGGGCTTGAATAAAATCTTCCTTCCCATAAATCACCATGTCATTTCCAAACGTGAGAGGATTTTCCCCAGGTATCTTGTGCCTTTTGAATTTCAGACTATGTACATGTATTACCTTTTAAAGGTAGCTAAAACCTTTATAAATAAAAAGCCTAAAAAAGAAAGAAAATGCAGAATAACTAAAAGAATATAAAACTACCCATAAAGAATCCCACTCACTCAAAAATTCTTCTCTTAACACTTCTGTGAGTAATCTGCCATGTCTTTTTCTATGCATGCACATACACTGGTAACATGTTGAAATTTCTTCTGTATCTTTCCCTTTCCTTCACATCTTCCCAGAAAGAATCACTGTCAATTATTGTTATACACTTTATACTCTCCTTTCTGTGCTTTGAATGTACATATACACATTTACAAACATCTTTCTTTTCTAAAACATGATGATGTAATGTGTAATAACTCTGAGAATTGCCTTGTTCACTTGTATACATTAGAGATATTTCCCTGTCAGAACCTGCTTTGTTCTTTTTATGAACAAATATTTCACGAAAAATGTTTCATGTTATATTCATCGGACCAAGCTGGATTATGATGCTATACAAACTAATCCTTCACGTCATACCTGAGTGGCTGTGATGGTTAATTTTATGTGTCAATTTGGAGCACAGGATGCCCATATTTTTGGTCAAACATGATACTGGGTATGTTTGTGAGGTTTTTGGACAAAACTAATATTTGAATCAGTAGACTGAGTAAATAGATTGCCGTCCCCAATAAGGGTAGGCCTCATCTAATCTATTAAAGGCCTGAATAGAACAAAAAGGCAGAGTAAAAGAGAATTTGGTCTCTGCCTAACTGCTTGAGCTGAGACATTGATCTTCTCCTGCCTTGGGACTCAGACTCAGAGAAACTCACACCATTGGTCCTCTCAGGTCCCCAGCTTACTGACTTGAGACTTCTCAGCCTCCATGACTGCATTAGACAATTCCTTATAATAAATTATATATGTACACACACACACACACACACACACACACACACTCCTCTCTCCATGGCTCCATTTCTCTGGGAAACTCAGATTAATACAATGGCCATTTCATTTAGGAAATCTTTGAGCTCCCCAAGTTGGGATTGTGTGTCCCTCCTATACTTTTTAGTAACACTCTGTATTTTCCTCATAGAAACACGATGGTAACTGCCTGTTCGTTTTTCCATATCACTCTGAAGTCTGTGTGTTCCTTGAAGGCAAATGCTAGGGATGAATGTGAGGAAAGGAAAATAAATAGAATTTCCTTTATTAGTCAAACCACACTTGGGCAAAGTTTTAATTTTGTTTCCTAATCTCTAGTCAGTACCTGAAATAAGTCTCACCTGACTAGCATCCAGGTGTTGGCAGTGCTGTTTTCCTTCTAGAGGGTCTAGGGAAGAATCCAATTCTTGGGCTTTTCCAGCTTCTAGAGGCTGCCTGCATGGCTTCATTATCCATCTTCAAATCTCTCTTTGACTTTGATCTTCTTACCTCTCTCTTTCATTTATGATGACCCTTGGGATTACATTGCACCCACCCAAATAACCCTGGACATTTCCTTCTTTAAAATCCTTAACCACCTCTGCAAAGTCCTTTTTGCCATTTGAAACGACATTCACTAGGTCAGAAATTTGGTATCTTTGGGGCTGTTACTCTGCCCTCCACACTGCTTAACCAAGTCAGTCACCCAAAGGCATGCCTTTATTACACAGGGTAGGAAATATAGGTGGATCAGAGAAAACCCACCCTTCCTACTTGAAACCAATTTAAAGTACATGGACCACCCTTCCCAGGACCATCTTGTCTGTTCTTTCCAGCACCATAGCCCGTGATGTACCCACTCCTTGCTGGAGGATAGCCTTGGGATGGGGAGGGCAGACCTTTCAGATGCAACCAGAGGCAGAGGAGTAATAAAAGTAAAGACTAAGAAAGCCCTATAAAAAACTCAGACCACGGGGCACCTGGATGGCTCAGTCGATTAAGTATCCAGCTTTGGCTCAGGTCATGATCTCACGGTTCATGAGTTCGAGCCTCGTGTCAGGCTCTCTGCTGTCAGCACAGAGGCTGCTTTGGATCCTCTGTCCCCTTCTCTCTCTGTCCCTCCCCCTCTCATTCTCTCTCGGTCTCTTGCTCTCTCAAAACTAAATAAACATTAAAAAAAAAACCCTCATGGGATAAGAATCTATTTCCTACAGCAGCTATTCCAAAGAAATGATATATTATTGTTTATAGGATTATATAGGATTTAAGTAGACTCCTGAGACCATCAAGGAAGCTCCTAAATATACTGATAGTCATTTTTGGTTATGAACCTTTTTAACTCTGAAAACCACGTCTTAGTTTAGGATTCAACACCTAGCCAGTAAGGTAAGATTCAATATTTTCCTATTCATTCTTTAAGTTGTTATTGGGTGATGCAGTATTTAGTATAATGTACTACTCCCTGTGTTTTAAACACATTATCTCATGTAATCTCACATCTAACACAATGGAGGAAGTGTTATCATGATGTAATAATCTGAAATATATAAATACACAAATGTATATGAATAAACAGGTAATAGCATAAGAAAGTTATGAAAATTCACTTGCCCAAAGTGGAAAAGTCTTAAATATCATAATATCTGATACTAATCCCACAACTTTTTTTTTAATGTTAATTCATTTTTTTAATTTTATTTTTTATTTTTTAAAATTTACATCCAAATTAGTTAGCATATAGTGAAACAATGATTTAAGGAGTAGATTCCCAATGCCCCTTACTCATTTAGCCCATTCCCCCTCCCACAACCCCTCCAGCAACCCTCAGTTTGTTCTCCATATTTATAGTCTCTTCTGTTTTGTCCCCCTCCCTGTTTTTATATTATTTTTGTTTCCCTTCCTTTGTGTTCATCTGTTTTGTCTCTTAAAGTCCTCATACGAGTGAAGTCATATGATTTTTGTCTTTCTCTGACTGCCTAATTTCACTTAGCATAATATCCTCCAGCTCCATCCACATAGTTGCAAATGGCAAGATTTCATTCTTTTTGATTGCCAAGTAATACTCCATTGT